CAGATGGGGGGGGGATACCCAGCATGGTATTTGCACATGTGAGGAGGCTTGCTGCTGATCACAGGCTGCAAAAAATCCTGACGGGATTCTGGGGTGCATTGCAGGAACAATAGTTTCTACGTCACATGAAAATAAGATTTCCACTTTATTTTGCACTAGTCCGCTCTCTTCTGGAGATCTATGTCCTGTTGAGAGTGTCACAGTTCTAAAAACCACATGGGCAAATTGGAATGAATTTTGAGGAGGACAACAAAGATGGTCAGCGCTATGGAAAACAAAATCTATGAGAAAATGTTGTAGATGCCAGGTAGGTCCAGCCTGGAGAAGAAACAACCGCAGAGGAAGATGCTTAGCTAGGTCCACAGAATCCCTTTTCTCTCTCTCCACCTTCCTAAATCGGTAATTGGTTCTGAATACAAAACTGAGTTCTTCCTCTTAGTTAGCCACAACCCTGTGCTTAAATGGCATTTTGGCCTTCCATATTCCTGGCAATGGTGCTTTACCTCTTACCTCTGGGCTTTGATACTTGGCCCTCTGCCTCCTGCCCAGCACTTAGCCTGGCACAAATTCTGACACTTCACACGTTGTCAGCTCTTATTGCTGGCACTGCACAGAGTTAAACTGGCTCCAGCAACTTGTCAGCAAGTGTCCACAAATGCGTGTCCACAAACGGACAGATGCTGTTATGCTCACCCCAGTTCTTAGAGTATTGGGAATTCTAGAAGCACAGCACCCTCCAAGGTTGTTTCATTTGGAAGGAGGAAACTGGAGACGTCCAGTGATTCCAGATGGCCTGCTTGAGTGGGGAGTGCTCTGTGCCACCCAGGGATTTTTTGAAACAAACAAAAAGAAAGGTGATTTTTGAATGGATAGGGTAATTTGTGAGTTCAGACATGTCACACCAAAAATTGGGTGAAATCATGCCAAAGTCATATTCAGTCTACATCTTGTTTCAAAATGGTGCCCAGAGTCCAAATGGTGACAAAGTCTAGTGCCTTCACCTTGTGAACCCTCGTGTCAAATTTGATAACAGTATCTCAAGAAGCAGATGAACCTAAGCTATAAAATGGGTGAAGTCATGTTTTGGTCCACTATCTTGATGCAGTGTCCAAACAGTAAGAAAGCTTTGGAAGTTTCTGCCAAGTTTTGGGACAATATCTGAAGAGGCGGATGAACCTATTGCCAAAAAATGGGTGAATTCGTGCTAAATTCACATTTTGGTCTGCCATTGTGAATCAAAATGGTGTCTGCAACCAAATGCAATGACGACCACTGCTCCCACCTCAGGAATGGTTGGGCCAAGTTTGGCAATGATATCCTGAGAGGTACCTGAATGCATAGCAAACAAATGGAGAAACAGACAAACCACTTTCCAAAATACAGTATATTGTAGATTCATCCTGATTAGTTTGCAGGGAGACTAGATGAGTTTTCACCAAAGCTTAGCAAGGTTAAGCATGAAAATGTAAGATGAGGGATACCTGGCTTACTAGCAGGACACGTGAAAAGGATCTTGGGACCACAGGCTTAACATGAATCAGCAGTGTGATGCAGCAGCAAAGAAGTGAAGGCTATTCTAGACTACATTAACAGAAGTATAGCGTCCAGTTCAAGGGAGGTCATAGTCCCACTATTTTGCCTTGATCAGACCACACCTGGAATTCTGTGTCCACTTCTGGGCAGCACAATTTATGAAGGATGTTGACAAGTTGGAAGATGTGCAGAGGAGAGAGACCAAGGTGATCAAGAGTCTGGAAACCAAGGCTTATGAGGAACGGTTGATGGAGCTGGGTATGTTTAACCTGAAAAGAGAAGACTGAGAGGAAATATGAGAGCCATTGTCAAGTATCTCAAGGGCTGTCTCATGGAAGATGGAGCAAGCTTGCTTTTTGCTGCTCTGGAGGTTAGGACTTGAATCAAAGGCTTAAAGTTACAAGAAAGGAGATTCTGACTAAACATCAGGGAAAATTTTTTTAACAGTAAGAGCTATTCAACAGTGGAATGGTCTCCCTCAGGAAGTTGCGGACTCTCCTTCCTTGGAGGTTCTTAGGCAGAGGTTGGATGCTTTATCAGATATTCCTGCATTGCAGGGGGTTGGACTAAATGACCCTTGGGGTCCCTTCCAACTCCACAATTCTATGATTCTAAGTGCTTGATTACCGTAGTTAATTGCTGCTCACCAAAGGCCCAGGCAAATGAAAGTGCTTTAATTTACTGTCTGAAAGATGGGAGCCACCCGCTGTCTTTGGGGAAGCCATTTCACAGTGTCAACACAAAGAAGGCTCCGCTTGTACTTGCTAGTGGCAGCCATGGAACCTACGTTGGTTTATCAGCCCAATAAGTGACTGCATCACAGACGCTTCCCAGGAGCAGGTGTAACTTTTGTATCCATTTGAGCACAGGTGAGAGAAATGAACAGGGGCATCAGAAAGCCCAAATCTTTGGTGAGGAAGTTGCTATTAGCAATTTGTTCCAGCTAAGTTTACAGTCATGATTTAAAATGGTTGGGATAATTCAGCACGTTGATCAGCTGCTGGGAGCCTATCAACTGGCTAGCATGGCAATGGACCATGCAGGCGTGTTGCAAAGCCTAGAATGTCAGGTTTCCCACACCTGACAGAGAGCCACAAATAGAAGCAATGTTTTCTCCTCTTCCCCCAGCAAATGGGATCAAAACCCCCCATTTATAAAAACACTGGCATCTGGGCTTACTCTTGTGGTATGGAAAAGAGGCTGAGGCCACAAAGTTCCTTTTCTCCTTAGCAGAACCAGACCCTGATTCTACCAGGATTCAAGACTAGAGATTTGGCGTACCTTTTCCCTTGCTGAAAAGGAGACAATTTTCTCAGATTTTAAGGGAGCCTGGGTTTCTTCCTCCCAGGGCCTTGTGTTCTACCACAAAGTGTGGGCTGGGGCAGCCAAGAGAAAGAAATAACTAGATAAGGAGGAAATGCAGCAAGGGAAATTTGACAGCTGTTATCTTGCCATTATTGGCCATCAGCTTCTGCAGGTGCTCACCCTGGCCTAACTGCAAAGTGGATCAAGTCTCTGCTTCCTAATGGGAGCATCTAATTAAGCAGCCTAATAGCATTTAGGAAGTAATTATGGGTGGGGAGAATTGCAGGGAGAAGGGATGCATTTTAAAAATGATGTCTTTCATAATATTAGAACCAATAGCTTCCTGTAGAGCCTCCTGTGCTTTTAACTTGGCTGTATCACAGCAGCGTGAAATTTGACAAGTGTAACTTTTCTCTTTTTTTCTAATTTATATTTAATTCTTCAGTTATAGCCGAAATAGATATAAAAAACCAACAAAAGAAAAAGAAAGAGAGAAAACAATCTTAACCACAGCAAGTTGGCGTACAGAGCCATCACAAGAAAAATATGGTTCAGCAGTCAGATGAAAATGCCATTCCACCCTGTTCCATGGGATGATGGCGGGTGGAAGCCGGGCTCAATAGTTTGTGCGTACGTATACAGTAAAAGGACACCACGTTCATAAAGGTTTGTGGTGTATTTTCCAGTGGGTGTTCTCGTTGCAAGGCTGTTAGTTTGTCCATAAGGATAGAGTTTCATATCTGTGACAGCCAAGCTTCAAAGAGAGTAACATTAAGACAAAATGCAGGGCTTTAAGAACGCACTCACAACTGTGCTTTAAATCTAGTCCCTGTCCCCATCAAATCAGAAGCACAGTTGGTGGTGACCCAAGAGGGAGGCTCTTCTGTGTCTTCTCTTATATTGTGGAATTTCCCCCCAAGAGAGGTTAGATTGGCTCCTTCTTTGTTATCCTATATCTGGCAGGCTGAGACCTTTCTATTCTGGCAGGATTATGGAAAAGAAGGCAGTGCTGACCAGTGGGTTGCCATCAGGGCATTAATGGGATATTAAGGGCTGGTTCTAATTTTTCTTTTGGTATATTTCAACTATTGTTTTTATTGCTTTGTACTTTACAATTATGTTTTTAAATATTGGAAGCCGCCTTGAATCTCAGCTTGGGAGAAAGCTGGAATATAAATACACATAGCTGTCAACTTACAGATTTGAAAATAAGGGACCAGCAGCCAAAATAAGGGACCTGCAGCCTCACCTGTTCCAGGCACTCCAGTCTTCCTGTCCTCCTGCAGTCTGGTCAAACTCATGCTGGTAGCTTCGAGAACACTGTCCAACCAACTTTGTAACCAGAGGTTCAACTGAATAGAATCTGAATCACATGCACCACAAGGCCTATGCAGCCTCAACTTAAGATGGCTCCCCGGCCTGGCTTTGCACTGCAAAGTTTGCAGCAGCACGTGCAACAAAATGCCGTCCAGCATTCAACCCCCCCCCCTCAGCTTGCATTAACTAGCCACACACACACAGCCTCCCCCCCTCGCCACGAGATCGCCAGTTACCCACCATTTTAGTCAACCAGCTCCTTCCCCCCCATAAGTCAATCGAAGGAGCCTCCAAAACAAATTCAAAAGCCCCCCCCCCGAGATCTCCTTTCCTTTTCCCTCATCATGTGCCCCCACTCCAGACAGACCTTTTCGCCGGCAAGGGTGAGTGGGCCGTCGATGACGTATCCATCCGACTCCGATCCGAGCACTCAGCACAGGTATGTTCAACTTCTGAGCCCCTCTGAGCCAAAGGCAGAAAGCCCAACCAGCAGCTCATTCACAGCATGTTACACGTTGAAAGAAAACTATATGAAAATGATGTGATGTTGGTATTTAACTCCAAGCAAATTAGCAAAAATGTATAAAACAGGGTCAAATATATGCTGGAAATGTAAGGAAAAAGAAGGAACCTTTTATCATATGTGGTGGAAATGTAAGGTAGTAAAAGAATTTTGGGAAATGATATATAATGAGTTGGAAAAAAATGTTTAAAATAACCTTTTCTAACCCACCCACCCCCGAAGCCTTCCTTTTAGGAATTCTAGGAATTCTAGGTGCCGAAATCCCAAGGGAGCAGAAAAAACTATTTACAGCTGTGCGGATGTTACTGGCCCAGAGATGGAAAGAAGATAAAGTCCCGACCAGAGAAGAATGGCAGATCAAGTTGATAAAGGTAAAGGTACCCCTGCCCGTACGGGCCAGTCTTTACAGACTCTAGGGTTGTGCGCCCATCTCACTCAAGAGGCCAGGGGCCAGCGCTGGCCGAAGACACTTCCGGGTCACGTGGCCAGCGTGACAAAGCTGCATCTGGCGAGCCAGAGCCGCACAAGGAAACGCCGTTTACCTTCCCGCCAGTAAGCGGTCCCTATTTATCTACTTGCACCCGGGGGTGCTTTCGAACTGCTAGGTTGGCAGGCGCTGGGACCGAGCAACGGGAGCGCACCCCGCTGCGGGGATTCGAACCGCCGACCTTTCAATCGGCAAGCCCTAGGCGCTGAGGCTTTTACCCACAGCGCCACCCGCGTCCCCATCAAGTTGATGGATTATGCTAAAATGGCTAAAATGACTGGAAGAATCAGAAATCAGGAAGAACAAAGTTTTAATAAGGAATGGGGAAAATTTATAACTTAAAAACCATTGTAAACAGTTAAATTCGTTAGTAGGATTGGAATAACACTTGTAGTTTAATGGTGAATTTTGGATACAATGGAGATTTGGATTATTATAAAAGATGCAGGAGGAAATGATTCACAACAGGACCCACAAAGGGGAAGAGGAAGTTCAAGAGATTCTCTGGAATCTTGTTTCTGTGTTGTATGTTGGATATATGACTGTAAAATGTTAATCTGAAAACCATATATATATATCCATCCCCGGCAAGAAAAGAAAATTATTGGAAAAGTTCTCAGGAAATTGTGAGAAATTCTCCAGCTGGACCAGCAGGTGGCAGCCCGAAGTCTCTGGTCAGCTCAGCCCTGGGAAGATTCTCTAGGGAATCTGGAAAGCGCTCTTATTTGGAAATAATCAAGAGAGCAGGCCTTATGTAATTTGTTAATGCAGAAAGATGCATTGCACTGTTAAGGCCCTCCAAATTCCAATCGCTCACGTGCAAGAATGCTGGATCATGGAACAAGTGAGATCATATCTGTACTTACAGAAATGGATGTTTAAAATGCTGAAAATGAACGTTGGAATCACACAAGGCTGTGAGGTAGAAGGAATCAATGCTGACTCAGCTTTGCTGCCTGGTCTTTCACCAGCCAGCTCTGCAGAGCCTTTAATACCACAATAGAAATGGAAAGGAGCTGGAGTTACTTAATTAGATTGCATTAATTAGATTCTAGTTTCTGGAAAAGCTAACCTGGAGTCAAAGCAATAAATGAAGTGTGTGTGTGTGTGTGTGTGTGTGTGTGTGTGTGTGTACGGACCAGAGGGACCTTCAACAAAAGGTTGCAGCGTGGAATGGTCACAATCCTCCTCCAGGAAACTCCATTCCATTCCTTCTTCCTCCGTCAACATTCGGTGGCCGCTAAGCCTGTTCAGTCCACATTTGGCTGCATTTGGCAGGTTTCCCCCTCCCACGTGAGGGTTTCCTCTCCTAAAGAGTTCTTGTAGTTCTGCAAATCATGAGATTTCCCAAGACTGCTGTTGCCCCTCTTCTTTGACTTTGGCTGAATGAAAGCAACAGAGCTGACCACATGAAGATTAGAATGATTAGTATTTATGATGGAGAGATAGATAATCAATAACATGATAACCAAATGCTAAGACGCTTCTGAACCCGTTGCAGAGAGCAGCAGCAATGAGAGCTGAAATGTAACAGAGAGTGCATTACTGCATTTGCAAAGCGGGCATAATCTTAGTCATTGGCCCAAGGGGGGCAGATGTGGGGAACATGTCCTACAGGCCTTCACTCAGCACCCACAAAGCCCTTAAACCTCCCCACTCATTGCCTCCTAGCTCATAAGGTTGTGAGGGTGGCTACCTTCTGCCTCCTTGGAAACGGAAGAAGTGGCCTCTTTCCCACTTCCTCTTTCAGCTCCATGTGCTTTTCAAGGCTCAGGTTCATTCTGTTGGATCTAACATGTACTCAGATATCTTGGGAAAGGGAAATGTGTATGCATGTCTTCTCTCCTTTTCCAGGCCGGGGGCTGATCCAGGGAGGAAAAGAGAAGTCACCGGAAGGGATGGCACCCAACATCTTCACTCAAATATCCGAATGTGCCCACAAGCCTAAGATGGTTGGCAACCCATGCACTATATAATGGAGGTACCCTAGCCGTGGGCCAAAGGCAGGGAGGCTGACAGTAGGTTGTGCCAGAGTCAGTGACTGGTTGTGCTGGAGCCAAAGACTGGCAGAGCCGACCATTCTAGGTTTGTCCCCATCCTCTTCCATGCTGAGTTCTATTGGGGCAACGCTAAGACTAAGGAGAAGGAGGCTGAGAGGCAGGGCTGCCCCCTGAATTGGTGAAAGCAGACAAAACTTGTGGGGGGCAGGGAGCAGTGCCCCATTTGGCTTAATAGACAACCAGGTGTACAGAGGGCCAATCTGACAAACCTACCCAGGAGACAACTCACAATTCCCCAAAAGTTGTGAATCCTTCCCAGCACTTCTGGGACCCAAAGGTGGCAAGTTAAGAGTTGGCAGCCTTTGCTTGAAGTGCTGGTGCCTTCCCATTCTGCCCCATCTCTGTGCCCCACTGCACTTTTTCAGCACAGCCCCAAATTGCAGATCAATGTCCGCTTTGCTCCTGAATAAGTCATGTCTGAATCTCAAAACTGACATGATTTCTGCTTCCTTTCATCCATCGACTTCTGGCAAGCACTTATCCAGAGTGTCTTGCGGTGTTCTGTATTGTGATGGGCAGCCCCGAGTCCACCTTTTAAAATGCTCTATGTGCTAATGCAGAGGTGTGTTCAATGTGATTTGCTTCCAGGTCACTTCCCTACATCTTCCAAAGTGGCTTATCTGGGAGATTCTAAAGTTAAGGCAATCACATTGTGTAGAACAGTGGCTCCCTACTGGTGATCCACAGACTCCAGGGGGTCCACATAGCCCTCCTCCCAGGGGGTCTGTGGCACCCTTCACAGAACAAAAGCTACCACAGAGACATCACAGTTTTCAAAAGTAGGGAGTCCTTGGCTTGGCTTTGGAAAAACAGGGGGGCTGCATTACTTAGCTAATTGGGAATCACTGTGTAGAACATTCAATTGCAGCTTGTTAATAATAATAATAATAATAATAATAATAATAATAATAATAATTTATTACTTATACCCTGCCCATCTGGCAGGGCCTCTCCAGCCACTCTGGGCAGCTTCCAACAGGATATTAAAAACACAATAAAAGATCACTTACCAGCCTCCCCATTTGACTCGTGTTAATCTATATTATTTGTCCATTCAAATTCATTAACTTGGGTTTGCACATCAGAAGGAGAGGCTAGCACTCAATAGCACCTGGTTTATGGAATGTCAGGTGACTTTTTATCTTTCTCTTTGCGAAGAGCAACTCCTTTCCTGCATCCCAACAAGGCAGAGGGGCTGCGAAGGACAATGTGGCCGGGTGGCTATGAACATTGAAATAACCTGCATAATAATTCCCTTCCTGTCACAACTTATTACAGCCCCACAAACAAGCAACATTTGCCATTTCTAATGGAGGCAGATTATGTCTCCATTCTCAGATGCTGTAATGACTCAGGAATTAAACTCCATCATTATCCTAAACTATTTCTCTTTTCCTTTCCTTTCCTTGTTTTGTTTTTTCTTCTTTCAAGTTGCTGATTTGAAACTTTTCTTCTCCCTTTTTGCCTGCAGGGCACTTAGATAATGTCATCACAAATTACTGTTTTCCACACAGCGCAGATGATAAGACCAGAGGCATTGAAGGAGCATAAATGGGGAAAACAAGATCAGAAGATCAAGGAAGCCACTTTCCTTGACTTGTAAATAACAAATGTTCATAATAATGTCATGGGGAAGGCAAAGCAGCTATAAACATTTAGGTCATTCAAGGATCTTTTACAAGTGCTGTTTAAACACATCTCAGAAGAAAATCATGTCTGCAACAATGGCAGTGAGAATGCTGCTAGCCCAGAGATGGAAGGAAGGAGCAAAAGAAGAATGGCAGATGAAACTGGTGGAGGAGCAGAGATGGCGAAACTGATGGATGGGGAAGATCCAAAACCAGGAAGATTGAGTATTTTCTAAAGACTGGAGCAAATTTGTAATTTATTTAAAAGACCTCTGTAAAAAGTTAAAATCTTTCGGAGGAATGCAGTGACACTTGTAATGTGGAATTATTTATGCTAATTATGGTTATATAATAGATGGATAATGGTAAAAGATGTAGCAAATTTAAACTCAAACATGGAAACCCGTAGAGGAAGGAAAGGAGGTCCGAAGGTTCAAAAGAACCTTGTATTTTAATGTTTGAAATGGTAATGAAATAAAATCATCAAAAACCCTATACAAAATGATAAAAAAGGAAATTGTCAGGGGCTCAGGAGCAGAGGCACAGGGGAGAGAGGAAATGGAGAGTGAAGGGGAAGAATCTGAGGGCAGCGGAGGGGAGAATGACAGTGACCCGAGAGATTCCATGAGCCTCTCCAGCGAATCAGAAGATTCCCAGAAGGGGGTGCCGATGGTCAGGGCAAGGGGGGTCCCAGGGGGGACGCACCAGAAGCAAGGGGCCAGCGGGGACTCCCAAAGCAGCAGCTGGAGATCAGGACCAGCTTCCCCACCAGAGCGCAGTGGGGGGGAAGAGTCCCATGTGTCAGGGCCAGCGTCTCCTCCGGCAGGGAGGGAAGAGGAGTCAGGGCTGACCACGCCTCTGTCGGAGAGTGGGGGAACGGAGGGGAGGTCAGACCCAGATAGCCTCCCCGAAGGGGGAAGCAGTGACAGGAGCAGTGTAACGGTCAGGAGGAAGGTGGCCGGCTGGGCGCGCGCGCCAAGTTCAAATGTACAGGAGCGCGGGACAGCAGAAAACCCAGATTGGGAACCAGGTCCTAAAGCCCGCCGAAGGCAGGGGGAAGACTCAGGGGACTCAGCGTCAGAAGAGTCTAGGAAGGGCAAAACCCCAGCGGACAGGCGGACCCAGAGGAGGAAAGAGCAAAGGAAGAGGTGGAGCACAGGCTAGAGTCTTAAACTGGTGTCTGGGGGGAGGAGACTCAGACGGAGCTTCGGCGGTCTAGAGTTTGAGACGTAGAGCTGCGCGCCGCGGCTGTGAAAGAGAAACTGAACTTCAATAAAGACTTTTGTATATAACAACGGAGTGGCGTTGGTCCTTTGTGAGCTGGGACCTAGGGCAGCTCTGACAGAAATCATAATGGAAATCCTTACCTTTAAAGAAGAGAACATATAATCTATTCAATGTGCTTGCACTGGCAATAAAAACATCTGAGAGTTCTGCTATCAGCAGACATAGGTATGGATATTCCCTCCATTCATACGTCCAGGCACTGGCGAAGGAACAGGGATGCGGGGGGAGCACACTGCCCCGGCAGGCACGCCCCCAGGATGTGCGCCACGCCCCCGCCTGCTCTCCGCCCCCCCCCGACAGAGCTTGAAGCTCCGCCCCTGTGTCCAGGAAGAGAATTCCTTAACCCTAACCTAAACCCAAACCCTAAACCTAACTCTAACCCTAACCCCACCCCGACGGAGCTTGAAGCTCCGCCCCTGTGTCCAGGAAGAGAATTCCTTAACCCTAACCCTAACCTAAACCTAAACCCAAACTCTAACCCTAACCCTAACCTAAACCCAAACCCTAACCCTAACCCTAGCTCTACCCTAACTCTACCCTAACCCTAACTCTAACCTCAACCCTAATCCTAATCCTAATCCTAACACAAACCTCTACCCTAACCCTAACCCCAACCCTAACCATAACTCTAACCTTAACCCTAACCCTAACCCTAATACAAACCTCAACATCTACCTCTACCCTAACGCTAACCCTAAACTCAACCCGAACCCTAACTGTAACCCTAACCCTAACCCCAACCCAAACCCAAACCCTAACCCTAACTGTCAGGGGTGCCTCAGGTCCCAGCTCACAAAGGACCAACGCCAGTGTCTCTTTATATACAAAGGTCTTTATTGAAGTTCATTGTTGGTTTTACATCCGTGGCGCGCATCCCTACGTCTGTAACTCTAGACCGTCGAAGCTCCGTCTGACTCTTCCCCTCCCCTACACCAGTTTAACACCCGAGCTTTGCTCCACCTCTTCCTCTGCTCTCTTCTCCTCTGGGTCCTCCTGCCCCCTGGGGTTCCACCCCTCCTGGACTCTTTGGAGGTGGATTCCTCTGACTCCTCCCCCTGTCTCCGGCGGGCTTTGGGACCTGGCTCCCAATCCGGATTTTCTGCTGACCCGCGCCCCTGCACATTTGAACTTGGCGCGCGCGCCCAGCCGGCCACTTTCCTCCTAACGGCTACACTGCTCCTGTCACTGCTTCCCCCTTCGGGGGGGCTGGCTGGAACTGACCTCCGCTCCGCCCCTCCACTCTCCGACGGAGGCGTGGTCAGTTCTGACTCACTCTCTCTCCCTGCTGGAGAAGACGCTGGTTCTGATCTGTGGGCTTCTTCCCCCCCGCTACGCTCTGGCGGGGAAGCTGGCCCTGATCTCCAGCTGCCGCTTGGGGACTCACCGCTGGCCCCCCTTGCCCTGACCCTGGGTGCCTCTTTCTGGGAATCTTCTGATTCGCTGGAGAGACTCATGGAATCTCCCGGGTCACTGTCATACCCTCCTAAGCTCCCCTCAGATCCTTCCCCTTCGCTCTCCAATTCCTCTTTCCCCTGTGGCTCTGCCCCTGAGCCCCTGACACTAACCATAACCCTAACTCTAACCTTAATCCTAACCCTAATCCAAACCTCTACCTCTACCTTTACCCTAACCCTAACCCTAACCCTAACCTCTACCCTAACCACAACCCAAACCCTAACCATAACCCTAACCCTAAACTGTACCCTAACACTAACCCTAACCCAAATCTCTACCCTAACCTATACTCAAACCCTAACCCTAACCCTAACCCTAAACTGTACCCTAACCCTAACCCAAATCTCTACCCTAACCTATAATCAAACCCTAACCCTAACCCAAATCTCTACCCTAACCCTAACCCTAACCCTAACCTTAAACTCTACCCTAACCCTAACCTAACCTTAAATCTAACCCTAACCCTAATCCAAACCTCAACCTCTACCTCTACCTCTACCCTAACCCTAACCCTAACCCTAACCTTAAACTCTACCCTAACCTCTACCCTAACCCTAGCCCTTGCCCTAACTCTAAACTCAAACCTAACCCTAACCCTAACCCTAAACCTAACCTCAAACCTAACCATAACCCTAACTTTAATTCTAACCCTAGCCTGTACCCAAATCCAAACCTCAACCTCTACCTCTACCTCTACCCTAACCCTAACCCTAAGCCCATCCATAACCCTTACCTTTATCATAAACTCAATCCTAACCCTATCTCTATCCCTGACCCTGATCCTAAACTCAACACCAAGCCTGACCCTAACCCTAACCACAAACCCTAACCCTGACCCTGACCCTGACCCTAACCCTCAACCTCAACACGTAACCTAATCCTAACATTAACCTCTACCCTAACCCTAACCTAAACCTAAACCCGAACCCAAACCTCTACCTTAACCTTAACCTTGTGATTTTTTTTTTTTAAAGTGATGGAATGCCATTGTTGGTCATTGTTGTTCTTTTTACTTGGAAGAAATGGTTTTATCTGTGCTCATTTGGTAACGTCCTACCCTTTACCAAATGCATTTGCATTTGACTGTCAGTTGTTGACCACCCAAAATCATCATTTTAAAATTCATTTCTCCTCCCTTCTTGAATTCTAACTAAACTGTCCCTTCCTGAAGACAATTTAGGATGACAAGTTTATAGAGAAATATGAAATCAAGGTACTGAGAGTGGTTGCAATTCTAACCTCACCATAGGCGCCGACTCCATGGGGCCTGAGGGGGCCCGGGCCCCCTCAAAAATTTTATTGGGGGGGCTCTGCCCCCCCAATAATTTAAGAAAATTATTGGGCGCGCGCAGCGGAAACGTCCTCCGCCGGTGACGTCACCCGGGCCTTGTGGAAAAGGCGCTGCGGGAGTCGCCGCTGCCACGGGGCCGCTGCAGAAGGGTGAGTGGCGAGGGCGGGACGGGGCCGCGCGCTCCTTTCCTTGGCTGCCCTCGTCGCACGCCTTGGCTCCCGCGGCCAGCGAGGGGAGCCCGGGCCGCGCGCGGCTGCTGCTGCCGCCGCCGCCTCTCCTGGGGGTGCCGCCTCCCCGGGCGGGAACGCTGCGGGTGCGCGAGGGAGGAGGGCGGCCCCCGGGGGCTGGGAGAGCCTGGCTGCCTGTGGCCGAGAGGGCTGCTCTGCCGGGCGCCGCTGACATTGGAACTTAGAAAACTTCCCGGGGCAGGACCCCGGTATGGGCCCCCCCAATATTTTTTATAAGTCGGCGCCCCTGAACCTCACTTAGCACTGAATTAAATGGGACGGATATCTAAGTAGCCATTGTTAGGTTACAATGTGGTAGCACCCTGAAACTGTCTTTATTTACTTTGGTGTAATAAAAGCATTGGCTTTCTTTGTCTTATTATGTTCTCCCTGTTTCCTTAAGCAAAGGGAAATTCCAGGGACAGCACTAAAGTGTTTCATTTTCTCTGGATGAGAGCATCAGAGACTTACAGTGTCTTCGTCATATTTGCTTTATTTACAAACATGCAAATGGAGCATTAAGGGAAGCAAACAGCAGGCTTGCCTACAGCTGATCCTGGGGGAGCACATGGCACAACTCCTTCCTTAGCCACTTTCAGCCAATTATTACAGCTCTCTTCTCTCCATCTTCCTTTCCTTTCTCTCCAGCACACTACAAACTCATAATCCCCCCTCCACACACACACACACACACACACACACACACAACCTGC